ACGCAGTGGCATCTGCCGGACGAGGTGAGGGAAGACTGCAGTCGCAGCTGGACCCGGGGCTGCGTGAGGCTCGTGTTTCGGATGACAGGACTTCCCGCCAGGGATAGACCTGCTTCTGCTGGCCAGCAGGCATGGAGACCTAGCTGGTGGACGTTCCGCAGACCGGACATGTGAGTCACTAGGAATCACTCAGGAGCAGAGGAGGGACGACAGCGGGATGGGTCTGAGGAGACAGGCACGCGTGGTGGCCCGTGGCTGCTAGGGAGGGGGAGAGCGGGAAGTCTGCCATGAGGCCGAGGAGCCGGCTTTATCGTTGGGTGGGCTTCCTGAAGTTTCTCCCAACCCGCTGTGTCACTTCTGATCCCATTTCCATGACTGTGACGCGTGTGTCTCTTTTCTGTGGATGTGACTTAATGTCACATCGGGCAGGTGGTTTCTCTCCTCCTTTTCCTGGCAGGTGGGGCCCGTCACCAAGGTGTCTCCTCCTTAGCGGGGCATTTTGTCCTCTTGTGTTCGCTCGCCGGTTTTACTTCGTACCCTGGCATCCAGAAGTGTAGAATTCCGTTTACTAACAGTTTTGAAAACCGTCCCCGGTGCTGTGTTAATAGTTCTTCTAGGTCCCGGGCAGGAAGCTTAGACAAGTAATCCCTTTCTCGGTCCTACCACAGCTTCTGGAAAACATGACGGAGGTGGTTCGGAAAGGGATTCAGGAAGCTCAGGTTCAGCTGCAGAAGGCGAACGAGGAGCGGCTGCTGGAAGAGGTGAGGCTGGGCAGCAGACTCGCAGGGGGCGTCGGGGGCGTCAGGCCGGGAGCGGGTCGGCGGGACGCTCACGAGCGGTGGTTCTGCTCTGCAGGGGGTGCTGCGGCAGATCCCTGTCGTGGGATCCGTACTCAATTGGTTTTCTCCGGTACAAGCTTCACAGAAGGGAAGAACCTTCAACTTAACGGCAGGTAGGACCGCCGCCGCCCCGGGTCCCGTTGACCTTGTGAGTCCTTCCCGGGATCCCCCGCTCAAGCCAGGAAGCCTGGTGCGTGCGCGCGGCTCCTGCTCCTCTGGGGCCGCGTCTGTCTCGGGAGGCCTGGTGGGTCTGCCCTCTTCCGCCGCAGCAGCCGCGGCAGCACAGAAGCAGGTCCCCCCCCACCTCCTGCCCTGCCCCCCCATCCGCGGCAGACCCCCCCTTCCTGCGGGCCGGTCTGAACGTGGCCACTCAGCTTTCGGGACTCTCCAGTGCCCCTGGCGTCGTGTTCAGTGTTGGGTGTCAGTACTCCCTGCCGTCCCCGTGAGTGCTTTGCCCCAGGAAGGGGCTGCTGTGGAAACGGGAGGTGACAAGATTGTAGTCCAGTCTGTAGCCCTGGACCAGCTCATTTCGAACCAGGCACCCCGCAAGGAGGACTGGTTGCTGGGGTTTGGGGACGGTGACGTGCGCCTCCAGGTCCCCTTCTTCCCTGTGTTGGGGGGACAGTTCCCTGCACGTGCCCCCGCGCCCCCCCCCCCCCCCCCCCCCCCGGGAAACCGTGAGCACACGTGAGTGTGACAGAGGATCCGTGTCGCTCCGAGCGCCCGCCGTCAGCCAAGGGCCGCCTGGTCCCTGCTGCTACAGTACCGTTCCCACCGGGGCGTGGTCCCCAGGCACGCGTGGGCCACGCCGGAGCTGAGTGTGCCCAGGACACCTGGGGACGTGAGGGTGAAACCGGCCGGCAGGGCTGGGCCTCGCGAGCGCGGCCGCGAGGTCAGCTTTCTCCGCTTCGCGGCGCGCTTCCGACGGCCGGGGGCTCTGCCCTGCCCGCCTGCGAGGCCCAACAGCCAGAGCGACTTTCTCGGGGAACGAGGCTGCGGGGGTTCGGCTCTCAGGGCGGCCGGAGCCGGGGGCCTCTGCACACCGCTCTCTCCCCTTCCTCGCAGGCTCCCTGGAGTCCACGGAACACACGTACGTCTACAAGGCGCAAGGCGCGGGGGTCACGCCGCCGCAGACGCCCTCGGGCACCCGCGCCAAGCAGAGACTTCCAGGTACAGCGCGTCTTCTGAGTTGATTAAGGCTGAAGAGAACCGTTGGTTCTCTTGGGAACACAGACCCTTGCATCTTGGGAGGCTTGTCCTGTTGGGTGTTAGCTGTGTTCTTGCGTTTTCTTGGTGCTTTGACCCCATGTCCTGTTCCTCCTCACTGAGGACCAGCCGTCCCTGTAACCATTTCAGTAGCCTGGGGCTTCAGCCTGGGAGAACTGTCTCCGTGGCAGCCCAAGGGGGAAGTTCGGGTCTTGAGAACTGGCATCGTGTTTAACCTGGTGTTTACTCGCCTGACCTTCTCCTGACCATGACCTTGGGAGCCGTGTCGGTGTCCTGTCGGTTCTCATTTCTCACCTCATCACTTTGGAGCCTCAGAGCTGAGGGGCGCGGGGGTGTCTCCGGAAGCAGTTGCGATTAAATAAAGCAACCACTTGTTGGACGGAGGGCTTTCAGCACTGTCCGTGCATCTTTCTCTAGGCCAGAAGCCTTTTAAGAGGTCTCTGAGAGGTTCCGATGCTCTGAGCGAGACCAGCTCAGTCAGTCACGTTGAAGACTTAGAAAAGCTGGAGCATCTGTCCGGGGCGCCGGAGCCAGATGGCCTGGAACCTAGCGGCCCCGAGCCACACCCCGGGGCTCCCCCTCCGCAGGAGGCCGAGCGGACGGGGGCCTTCCAGAACGGGGCCCAGCGCCCGGAAGATGACCGTCCACAGGTAGAAGAACCGGAGAGCTTAAGATAAAATCCAGTGTTTGCTTTGAGACTGTACCGGGTGTTGTTCCAGGGAAGATGAAGCTGTACTGAAAATGTGAGCCGTGCCACAGCTAACGCAAGAGAAATGACTGTTGTTTGTCCTTCGCTGGGATTTTTGCACAAATCTGTGCCTGAAAGCCAGGCTTTTTAGACGGGCAGTTGATTGGTCTCATTGGATGGGTCTGTAGCATGACAGCTGGGGTTCCTGCCCACGTCCTTGTAGGTGGTACCGTTTCTCCCCCACGTTCCCATAAACACTCGTTGTTCACGAAGAACACTTAGAATTCCAAGTGCCCGCCACTTGAAACGCTTGCACTTATTTTTCTAAAACCTAAGCGTAAGCCGTGACGAGGTTACATACAACTTTTCGTTAAGTCAGCTCTAGAACCTTCCGGGTCCTCTGTTGTGCTGCTGCACCAGAGAGGCAGCGCAGTCTCCGCCATCTGTTTGGGTCAGCGTTCAGTGTGGGCAGGCCGCGGGGTACGGCGGGCTCGGGTTCGGCGCGATGCCGACCTGAGCCCGAGCCGCTCCCGCCGCCCCCGCCGCTGCTTCCGAGGTGTAGAAAGGAGCGTGCACTCTGGCTGGGGCAGGGCCGTGGGCAAGCCACTTCCCTCTGCCCCGAGTCCATTCCTCCCTTTATATACTATTTGTAGACAAATTAAAGGATTATCTATTAAGAGTAACTGTAAAACTCTTGGCCATATATATGTATATTTTTAAATACTGGTAAAGCTTTTAAATTGGCACACAGATACACACTGTGCTCGTTTCTATGTTTAATATCTGAAAAGCCGACAGACGCGAGTCTTGACCTGATACTAACTCTGCTGTGGAGCACCCAGTTATGTTTCAACCCTAAAATAAGTATACCTTTGACCTGTTTTACATGGGAGTGTGTGTGGCTTCTCCCCACGAGCAGCTCACCCCTTTGGGCCCAACTCAGAGACGACCTGGGCCCTCGGTCTGGTGAAGCCAGACCACTGTTGAGATACTGGAAGCGAGTGCTTAATTACTGCCTCTTTCTACTTTTCCAGAAGTCCTGCACCTCTTCGTTTTCATAGGTAAAGGTCCCTGAGCCTTTAGTCCAGCAAAGTCAAGCTTTGGGACGCCTCAAGACGGTGGGGGTTCACACTGGGCTGGGGACTGTCGTGTTGGAAGCCTTAGGTACACCACATTAAGCCTATAATTAGACACCGATTTGATGTGATTTCGGACTTTTGGCACTTGTCAAAATGCAACTTTTTTTTCCGGTGCAGATGATTAAAAGTCTTCCCTGTTTATTTGGTGCAATGAAGTATAGCAGATAAAATGGGGAAAGGGGACATTATCACCTTTAACAAGATTAATTTTTCAATGTTTTTATATATATTTGGAATTGCTAAATTGGTTTTGCTGAAACAGAATTTCACCCTTAAGATACTATTTGAATGTTGGTTTCAATAAAGGTTCTTGAAATTGTTAACCTGTGGGTTCAGTTCCTGAATGGTCATCAGGCAGAGCGATTCCCCCGAGGATAGCAACTTCAGAGAAATAAAGGCCTCGGAAAGTCTGACCTGCAGACATCACGGTGTGGCCATTTTAATGACCTCACACCTAGAGCAGACTTCGCAATGGCTTCGTTAACTCTCACATTGAGTTGAGTCTCAGATTGTTTTCTTTTGCAGAACAGTCTGATGAGATTCTGGTTTTCCTTCTGGGCTTTTTCATCTCCTTCACCTGGAAGTGGAGTAGCAGTTGGAATTCATGCTACTGAAATATTTGGGGGCCAGAAAACCCCTCTGTGAGATGGATACGTTCTCACGAATTCTGCATTTGAAATACCATTTTTCAAACAAGCTTATGTATAATGTTCCCTTGATTCCCTAATTTAGCAGGAAGAGAACCACTTACCCCAAGTCTGAAACAGCGGCTTGCAGCATCACGCGGCAGGCGGCTCCTCCTGGGCCCTCGGTGCCGAAAGGCAAGGCCGGGCGTCCCCTTCGGCAAAGCAGAAAGGACACCTCGACAAATGCCTTCGCGAAAATAAGATTTTATTTTTAAAGTCATTTGAAGGACAGTAAGGAAGGAGACCTAAGAGTCAGCGGATGCGGATTCTGGTTCGTATTCTTTCCAGGCCCCACGGTCCCCATGGTGGTGTGTCTCAGGCCAAAAGTTGCTCTTTGGTGATGCCCGTGTTTAGCTTCCTGGAGAAGGGATCTTTTCCCATAAACCATCTTCATTTTTTTTGTAGAGGAGAGCCTTGTTTCCGGGAAACAGTGCGTTGGTTGGAGATGGGTGTTTTTTTAAGAACATCAAGGTAGATCTGATATGTTCGACAAAGTGGGGTGGCTCAGCCAGAGGTGAAGTGGAGAGGTTCTGGAAAAACAAGATTCTGGGTCTGAGAGAGGAATAAGCTGGCTCTGTTACCCTCTTGACAAAGCTGTCGAAGTGTCTCCGGGTTCTTAAACAGTCCGGATGGTCTCAGGTCACCACGTACACAGAAGTCGTAAAGTTACGGAAGACGGGAGGTGTACTGCGTTAACGAGGGAAAAGCAGTCGGCTGTGTACTCCTTCGACCCATGCAAATGCCCGGCCAGGACCTTACTTATTCTCGGCTGATCTAGAGGTTAAATGGGGTCTGCCGAAGGCATCCTAAAAGTAAATCCCACCCGCCGAAGGAAAGGCTGCTGTGCTCTCGCCTAAACCCGTCTTCTTCTTCTTCTAGATGAATAAACCAGGGTGCGGCGATTTAAGACCGCCCCAGCCTGCAAGTTCTCACCTCTAGTATTTGCTTATCATCTTGCTGCAGCCAGAAATCCACATGTGGAAATGGCATCCAGGAGTACGGTCCTATACGAAGTTGTTCTGTCTTTGCGTCGTAAATACTAATCATCTGAAAAAGAACATTTCGAGGACATTTCAAGGAACGTTCTCTGCTTCTCGAACCCCACCATTAGTGCAAGCTCCAGCGCAGTCCCACATTAACGTGGAGGGATGAGCTGCTTTAAACGGTCTAATAACCAAAGCCGCTACTTATGGAGTCCTTCCAGTGTGTCTGTTATTGTACTTTGGGAGTAACGTACGTGCTTTTGTTTAGTCCTGACAAAAGTCCTCTGGGAAGACGGCATTTTTCCTACTTTGGTCGGAAACCTGATGCTCAGAACGGACAGGCACTTTGCCCACGGCGACATTGCCAGTAAGCATGAGAGCTGGGACAGAAACCCAGGTGTGTGTGGCTCAAGTCCGAGGTCCTCAAACACCTCCTCATTACTTATGCCCCAGCAACTAATCACCTTGCAACTTAAAAGCCCGCAGCGCCGGCTGCCCCATCAGGAGCAAGCAAAGTGCTTATTTGCCAATCAATTCCCTGAATTCCCCAATTTGTCAATGGTAGTTTTCAGCTTAACCAGCGACCCTGGCTTTTGGTTCCTGAGACTAAAGCGAGTTCTGAATATTAGCTAAGTCAAGGCTATTACCCTGCTCGAGAAACAGCAAAGGCATCTGACAAACGTCAAAGGTTTGACAAAACATCACCGTGAACGCACACACTCTCCAACGAAAATGTCAACGTTCCATCAGTGAGGAATCTGAATGCGCCTTCTCTTTTTTCACACCTCTGCCTTCAAAGCAGAGAAGCGGGGTCTAGCTTGCAAGAAACAAACGTTTCGTTCCTGACGCCTATAAAACGTGAGGCTCTGGAGCGGGACGCCCCTTTTTTCCCCTTAGCACAGAGGGTCTCACTCACTGGGCCTCCTGTCAGAGCTCGGGCGGCACGCAGCTCCTCCTCCGGGCCTCGGTCTGGGAAGGAGGCTCTGTAAATCTCTGCAGTTTTAATGTTGACCGCTGTGGGGACAAAGAGGTCCTCCGCATGGACTAAAGGCACAAGTGGAAGGTTGGCACAGCCGCACCACGTCTACGGCCACGGGTGACCGAACGTGGCCGGTCGCCCCAAGAAGGGGAAGAGGGATATGGCTGGACCGCTGTCGCTGAACAGCTACGGCTTCCCCTTTGTGCAGATGGAAAGCGCCACCTTACGGCCCCGGCCCGACAGAGGGGCGACCTCCTCCCCCGGGAAGCGCCAGCTCTTCAGGCCGGCGCGGGGCGACCCTCCCTGGCCAGCGCCGCGGCCGCGCCGGGGGCAGAAGCGGGGCCTGGGGTGCTGTCCGGGTCTGGTGGTGGTGGGGGCACGTTCCCGCCACGCACCTCTGCCAGGCTACGGGCAGCAGTACGGTGACCCCCCGTGCGCCCCGCTGGGCCATCGCACATGGGGTGGAAGTTTCACCGGCTCTCCCCCTCCGGGGATCCGGGGCTGCGGCGGGAGAGCACTCCGGTCTTTCCTTGGCCTGCTCTCTCCTTAGCAGGACCCTTATTCCCCGCCGGACCCCACCAGGCACCCCACCGTGTGAGGGGACCGACCCCCTGCCCGGCCCCAGCCCCGGAGGCAGGCTGGAGAAGGGCGAGCAGACGGCCCCGCTTCCCGGCCACCACCCCGTCCGTCCCCGGTGGCCGTAGGGAGCGGACGTCTCTGTTTTGTGGGCAGCGGTCAGAGAAGGCACGCTGCTTGCCCGGGGCCCCCGGTGGGGCACAGGCAGCCAGGGTCAAGCTGGCCCCGGGAGCGCGGCCCGGCCTCCGGGCCTCCAAGAAAAGCACTACTCACCGATGCCGTAGATGATTGGAAAGTGCTTTTCATTTTCTTCCCGGTCATTTAGTTCTAACGAAACGAAGAAAAATGCTTTTTAAGGAGTGATTTTTAAGAAAAACTGAACAGTTGCTTCCATTTTCTATAACTGAGGCCAACAGGGAGCCCACACTGCAACGGGAGGAAAAAGGACATGCAAGGGACCGTGTTCCCGTTTCCCTGCCAGGTCCCACCGAAGCCGTCGGGTTTCCACCAAAACGAGTGCCGCGTCCCGAGTCAGCGCCTCCCGGCTCCCTACACGCTCGGCCACCAGCCACCTGCCACGCGTGGTGGCGGGTGGCTCCTTCCCAGGAGCAGAGGAAGCGTCTGAAAATCCCAAGGAAGGAAAGAGAGGCTGTGCTGAAGGGGGTGGGGGTCGAGATATTCTCGGAGGCCGAGCGGGATTTGGGCTTGGGGGGCGGGCGGGCCACTGGCTGCAGAGGGCGGAGGGGGCTCTCCTGTGGCTGAGGGGCTCGTGCGCGAGGTCTTGCTTTAAGGGTGAGGGTGCCGGCTGTTGGGGGAAGGACGGCAGAACTTACCTGTCACACACAACGTCACTAAGTGAATGTCATCTTCTTGTCTGTCAAATTCACCTACAATGAAAAGTTTCAAAGTGGACGTCAGAAACCCGCTGAGCAAGTCGAGATGGGGCCGGGCCCTCTCCGTCCCGCTCCCGTTTCCGCCACAACCCGGCCCGCGCGCGGAAGCCAGATTCCTGTGAACCGACGCCAGGGAACCCGGGTGACGGGCACGTCCCTAGCCTCGAGCCCAAAGGAAACTGTGACCAAAGCTGTCCCTCCGTCTCTTCCTTCTCAGCGGTTTGTGGGGACAGCGGACTCCGAAAATGTTTACCCCTTACTTAAATAACTTTTTTTTCTTTTTACCAGCCATTCTAAAAACTTGATCACTGTAAAAAAAAAAAAAAAAAACCGTGGAAAACACAGGCAGGTGTAAGTACATGGGTCTTTCATAGTACAAGGACACGGGCTTCTGATGCCCACAACCCCAGCAGTTAACAGTCCGTGTTTCTTTCCTACCGTCCGTGTACTGCCGAGCCCGCGCCTCTCAGACAGCTACGTCCTGACTCTGCGGCCACGTGTGCTTTCCCGTGCGATTCACCTCTTCCCAAGTACTTTTTAATGGCTACGTAACAATTTCTTTGCTGACGGACATCAGACTGTTTGCTAACGTAAAGGATGTTCCGCCCGCATTTGGGCATGAATCTCCGTGCACACTGCAGATTATTTTCTTAGAACAGACTCCCAGAAGGGGAATTACCAGGGCAAAGGAGAGGAACCTTGTTAAGACTTAGGCCACGGGGCCAAATGGCTTTGCCGACAGGTTACAGCAACGTATGTTCCAGTGCTGGGTGCGTAGGCCCGCCTCGCCGCGGTTAACACAGAACGAGGTCTTTTTTTGAATCCTCGCTAATTTAACGGGAAAAGGCGGCATCGTCGGCGTTTTACCTTCCTGCAGGTTAAAACGGACATCGCTGCCCAGAGGGCTGGTCACCATCTTATTCACCGCTAGCGTTTACCGTCTTGGACCGTGTCGACTACCGTTTCCAGGAAAATCTCGTCCCCCTCCCATTGGCCCCTGAATCGTAGCTCGGTCCCTCCGTCCGAGTCCAAGCCGAGCCAGTCAGGCTGCTCCCAGCAGCTGCCCCGAGAGGCTGTGCACTAAGTAGCGTTTTGATCCAAACAAAAGCGGGTGCAAGTTTTCATCAAAGTTGGGGAAACCGTGAACTTACTAAGAAGTTGATGAGTAAGTTTTTGTGACAACTGCCTGTCATCACTGAAGCCTCCCACGAGGTGCACTTCCAGCCTGGCAAAGAGACGGGACGGTGGTCAGAGGCCAGCACTCCGGCCGCGGGGCGCCCTGGCTTTGCTCGGGACCTCGGTTCTCCGCCTCCACGAAGCCGCGCTCCGCAGCGGCGCTTCCTCCCGGGGCCTCTTCCGTGCCTCGCGGCGGGGAGGACGCGTCTGGGCGGCACTGGGAGAAACGGGGGAGGCTGCCAGGGCCGCGCGAGCCGCTGGGGACGCGGCCGGGGGCGCTGATGGCGGACGGGAGCCGCGCCTGCACACGAGCGGCCCCGATGCGGAGCTTAAGACGCTCCCCTCGGTTAGAATAGGGCTGTGGCGCACTTCGAGAAACCTCTTCGGCATCTCAGCCTAAGGGGAACCGGGGTGCAGGGCCGGGAAGGGGGGCTGGCGGACCGCTCACCTCACTCTTGTCCAGCAAACCCGGAGCCAGGGACTGTCGCCTCCCAATTTCAAGACGGGAACCAGGTCGGTTTCTACAGGCCATGCTTACCCCCCCACACCAGCTTTTCCAGGTTTGGGGAACCCTGCTACTCCCCCAGGGTGGCCCTTCTGGGGACTGTCACTGCACACACTAGCACAGCACAGCGCTCAAACTCCTGTGCTGGAGCCTGTGTTCTGCCCCCCCGCCCCCCATCTGCAAGCCCCCTCGTCCACAGCCTGGGACAACCCAAGGGAGGAACCCGAACCGGCCAGAACTGGCATGAGGACGAGTATCACGTGGCCCCACACAAACACGAATGGGCCAGACGAGCCGCGGTCACCACGGCTTTGCTCGACACAGGGCCACGGGTTTGCCTTCCCAGTCTTGGGAAGGCACGACCACGTGCGTTCCATGGACAGACCAGAGATCCCTCCTGCCACGTCTCAGCACCGCACCAGGGGGCCCAGCGCAGAACGACACTGCTGGCCCGGCCTATGTGACACTAGTGACACCAGGAAGAAGGGCTTTATTACTCTTTTTGTTAAATCCCTAGGATTCTGAGAACGTGTAGATGACCAGACTAGTCCGTTCTGTGGCCACCCCAGACTTTCTCCCCAGGGAGGGGCAGGAGGGGGCACAGGTGTGTGTGTGGGGCCCCTCTCCCCCAGCCGTGGGACCAGGTCCCCTGTGTTCCAGGGTGACGGCTGTTGGGAGGGGGCGGCCACCTGACGGGCCACCGTGGGAAAATGCACCCTCCCCCGCACCCCCCTCCCCCCGCCACGGTGGGTTCCTCCCTGCCTCGGCCTCCACGGTCCTTCCCACCCTTGAACACCCTGTTTTGCTTCCTGCCGGCCTCCTTGCTTCAGGGCACTTCGGGGGCAGGTGTCTGTCTACTGGCCACGGCTATGGCCCCGACACCTGTAACAAGCTCCCCCTGGGAGAAAACACCCGACAAGCAGCTGCCGGAACGAACGAATGAAGAGAAGGCATCTGGGATTCGCTGACGCGTGAGCGAGCATCCCACGATACGGGAGCAGAAACACAAGCTGAGGTTCCAAGTCAAAGCTTCATCCACAGGCCAGCCTGCACCCGCCACCCGGTCTGCTCGCTCCACGGCCACCGGCGAGGGACCGACGCTGTGCCGGCTCGGCTCCAAACGAACGAGCCGGTCGCCGTGGCGGTGACCTTCCATGCGGCGGCCACGGCCGTCCCCTCTACGTGACAGAGCGCGGGGCCCGGCACCACGGGACACAGGAACGGGGCGCTCACCTTCCACACGGAGCGTGGTCGGAGAAGGATTTGATGGAGCTCATGATCAGGGGGACCTCCGCTTTGGTGTCACTTCCGTCACAGTGGGTCAGGCAGGTGGCCCCGTTACCTGAGGCAAAGGGGGGAACGACTCACGTTACTCCGGGTGAGGGCTCCGGGCTCGAGCCAAATCTACTCCCATCCCTTCAGACGCCTCCTCTGTCAATGCCCTGGAAGGAGACCCAGAAGGATCTGTGCTGCCCCGCCCACCCTTCTGACCCGGGTACCAGGGAGATGCCATGCAGACTGGGCGGGTGGAGGGGGGAGGGCAGGGTCCGGCTGCGGGCAGGACACCAGGAACGTCACGGGCAGAGACGCAACGCTGCCCTTCCTCTCGCTCGCCGTACCTGTGTGCCTCAGGACCACAATGTGACAGGTGGTGGCATCATCAGAACCCAGGATGGAGATGGAGCCTGGTTGGAAAAGAGAGAAAATGAAACATCCAGTAGCCCCGGGGGATGATGCCCGATTCACGGCTTCCTAACCTACCATCCTGCGGGGAGGCCGCTGCAAGCTCTCTTTGCTGAACATACAGAAGGCCCTGGGGTCCCACTTGCTGAACAGACTGACCTCTGAGAAGTCTGGCTCTTTCCTGTTCGATTAAAACAAGATAAAAGAGGGACGGAAATTAGTGATGACTGGGTACCTAGAGGGGTGGCGAGGCCCGACGTGCGCCTGGGCGGGAGACACAGGCTCTGTGGGGTGCCACGAGGCTGAAAGGCCAAGGGAACGGGGCTGCGGCCACTAAGGGTGGGGGGAGGCGGAGCAAAGGAGACGGGTGAGCTCCCGGGCTTTGTTCTGCCTGCACCTGAGGGACCAGAGTGCAGGCCTTTCTCCTCAAGCACAAGAGACCCTCCAGGGCTCTGCACCCGGGAAGGGAAGCCGACCGTCGGCCCGAGGGCCCGGCCGGCTCCGAAAACACGGCCCTTGTGCGAGAGAGGCGGACACCGTCCCTGCCCCCGAGCTGGTCGTCCCCACGCTGGGAATCTGGACCTCTGGACCGGGGAACCTCCCTCCCCCACCAACGCACACACCCGGGTGGCTCGGAACGACAGAGGTGAGTTACGCCGAAGAGACTCACGCTATTGCACAGTCAGGAAAAATGAAGACTAGGAAAGATGGTTTTGAAATGCAAACTGACAAAAAGTATAAAAAAAAAAAAAAATCTTTAAAAGTTGTAAATAAGGGCGCCTGGGTGGCTGAGTCAGGTAAGCGTCCAACTTTGACTCAGGCCATGATCTCGTGGTCCGTGAGTTCAAGCCCCGCGTCGGGGGCTCTGTGCTGACAGCTCGGAACCTGGAGCCTGCTTTGGATTTGGTGTCTCCCTCTCTGCCCTCCCCCGCTCACGCTCTGTCTCAAAAATGAATAAACGTCACAAAAATTTAAAAGTTATAACTCTGCGGTGATGATCACAAAGCTCAAGTGTTGCCACGTGGGAGGAAGCACGAGGAGATTCACCCGCACGGCCACGGTCAGACAGGGCAGACTGAGTGCGTTAGCATTTACTCTCTCGCCTTGTCCCGATTCCGTAAATGTGCTATGACGGAGCCGTGACCGAGGCAGACAAGCAGAAAGGGCCCGTCCTAAATCAGCAAATTCATGAAAAGGCTGTGTTGGAATCGGGTGTCCAAACCTTCTCTCACTTCGTATTGGCAGAAATTCTTACGCAGGAAGCCCTGAGTCGTGGGTGCAAGCGTTGACTCCCCACACTGTGCCCCTGCAACTAACAGGTCACTGTATGTCAGCTGTACTCTAATTCGAATTTTTTTAAAAAAGTCTTCCACACTGGGGCGCCGGGGTGGCTCAGTCGGTTAAGTAGCCAACTTCGGCTCAGGTCATGATCTCACGGTTTATGGGCTCGAGCCCCGCATCGGGTTCTGTGCTGATGGCTCGGAGCCTGGAGCCTGCTTCGGATTCTGTGTCTCCCTCACTCTCTGCCCTGCCCCCGCTGGTGCTCTCTCTCAAAACTAAAATGTTAAAAAAGCACAAAAATGCCAGATCGATACAAAAAATTACATCACACGGGGTACGTAGACGGGTCACTACTTCCTCCTGACTTGCAACAAGTCGACTCAAAGAACAGACTGCGACCCAAATGCACAAACCCAGAGGAGGTAGGTGGGGTCCGGCCAGGACCCCGGCTTCACGGTCTCACACGGGCCGCTCACCACGGCTGAGCATGGTGTGCCCAGTGAGGCTGGCACTTGCTTAATCAATAATAAGATACAAGATATATTAAAAAAAAAAAAAAAAAAAAAGATCGCTTGATTCGTTACCCAGTTTTCTTCTCTTAATAAACTCTCGTTAATTGGAAGCAATGCAGCCATTAGCACGACGGCGGCTCCTCAACAGAACAAACGAGAAGGAATAAGTGGGAGTAAGTGAGCTGCCGTGTCAGTCGGCCAGGCTCGGCCGCAGCGGTCAGGGAGGAACTGGCCGTGACTCACGGTTCTGCAACTCGGTAAACACCTCGCCTCCCGGGTGCTCTGCATGTCACACGCTCGTCACCTCACCTTGATTCGAAATTAGACGCAGGACAGCGCGCACTTTCCTTTCCGTTAGCCCCGGGACACTTACCTTGGCCTCTGTGCTTTCGGGGGCGGGGGGGGGGGG